AACCATGTCGCATACTGCAAATAATTACAAAGACGTCTCTTTTTAAAGGGACAGCAGCAACTTCATCAATATTCAACAAGTGTATAAATACTTGAACATTATGCAGTAGCGGAGGACCAGAAATTGAACAGAATCTAGTGACAACTCGGACATTATAGGCGTTAAAAGAACCCCTTTAAAATTGAGGCTCAAGCTTACTTTTGACGGAATGTTTACCTTAGGTTAAGCTCCGCCTCCTAATCCATGTGGACAAAAATTCCCCCCTCCTCCCCTCCTTTCACCCTGGTACTCACAAGCTCCCCAGAGAAGCCCATCCTGTTCAATGGCACGGACTCTCTTCTCCATCTCCGCCATGTCTGTCTCGTCATCCCAAGGCTTCACATCAAGGACAACGTTAGACTTGGCGATCACACCCGGTTCTGAAAAAAAATTTTTTTTTAAATTTGTAAATAATTGCATAGTAGTCATACAAAAACTTGCTTCCCTTAAATGCCAGTTATTTTGCAAAAAATTCAGGCCACTTCCTCTAAATGCACCCGTCTATCAGCTAAACACATCAGTAGGTAAAGCTTAGCAAAGGGAAATCTTCAGAAAGAACCTAGACAGTTTGCATCAGGATAACAAAGACAAGTGTAGACTACCAGATATTTCGATATTTGGTGAGGCTGCTCCTCCCACAGCACAATGAAAGCGATGGACAGCCAGTTCACACCCTTACGGGTACATAGGAATATGTGTGTGAGTGCGTGTGTGTTTAGATTGGTCTCTTGAAATGCGTCTGAGAGGTTTCTCACGGGGTGTTTGGGTGACTAATATTTAATTAAGCTATGACATGTGACACATGAAACCTGTAAAACACTGGATAGGCCTATAGGATTAATGACTTTGTCAAGTAATAATTGCGCCTGAAGAACGTTTCATGTACTTATTCAACGAATCACTAGAGAATTGTCTCTCAGGATGCCTATAGGATTAAGGATTTAGTCAAATAATTATTGCCCGTGAAGAACTTTTCATGTACTTATTCAACGAATCACTTGAGCATAGTCTCTCAAAATGTCTGATGTCATCCATGCATTTATCGAGTTGAAATAGAAGACAGCTGTATGACTGAGTGCTCTTCCTTACGAGTATCAACAAAACTTTCTTCACATCTCTTCCTGACATATCGGTGTGCATCAGCACAGCGAGTCGGGCCTTTCTCTTTGCTCCACCACCCACACAACACCTTTGTAAGAGTAACCGCCATAAGGGCATCTTTTATAAAACAGTCACCTTTTGTTGCATTATCTGGTGATAGTGCAAAGGAATCCATTGCACGGTTTGGGATTGTTACCACTGATATGATCTCTACAAATGGTTTTCATAGTCCAACAGTAGACTAAGATTATGAAAGTTGGTGTGATAATGACAAAACAGTTTGACAGGAATAGATAGGGGCAATGGTAACGCTGCTTTAACACTTTGCCGCCTCATCTCGCCAATTGGCGATGTTTACCACCCAGTTTCTTTGGAATTTCCCCAAACTATGATGGCAAAGTGTTAAAGAAAAAAAGGGCATACACAACATCAAAATGTACACCAATAATCAAATGGCCAAAGCTCATGCCACCTCACTTACAACCCATGGAATGCACTTACTCTTTGCTTTCTTTTCTGCGTATTCTTTCAAGCGTTTATCTTTCAGGGCTATTGTGTCTTCATCCTGGAAAGAAGAAGAAAGAACAACAGCATAATGTTTAAACACGCACCTAACTGGACATGAGCCATAATGGACCCTGTTCACATTTGAGTAAAGACAAGCACATGATACAATAATGGTCATTTTGTGTAAGGAAAAGGTAAGAAGGTTTAGTTTTAGTAGAGTTTTTACAGCGTTCGCAACAGTATAAGGTCATATGAGCAACAAGGGGTGGAAGTCAACAAAGAAGTCCAAATGGGGAATCAGGCTTACTCTGCTCACTTCTCTAGCTTCAAAGGCACAAAGTCTACTTCAACTATCAAGGCACCCAGGAAATAGAAGTTCACAAGAAACTAACAAACACACAAAACAAGTACAGGAAAAATGACGATAGTAAGGATGAGGAAAGAAAAAGCAGCAGTTCCCCCCTATATTGTTCCGGCACAGTATGAGCATGACACTGATAAATCAGCCCATTTACAATTCTACAAAGCATAAGAACATGTTAATATCCCCTTTTGGGAATGGCCTAAATACACTTTTCCACTTTGTAACTACTACAGATTTCGTAACTCCGACCAAACTTGAACACAAGGGACGTCTTTGTTTTCTTTCAAACAAAAATGATAACCTTACCTTTTCTGAACTTTCTGAACTGATGAGTCACTAGATGACTCAAGAGACAGAACCTATTTTATTGAAGGAGCGACAACCCCCCCACCCCCCCGAACGCTCAACCCCACCCTCAAACAACCATCATTTAAAGGAAGAGAAAAAAAAAGGGAAAAAAGAAAGACAGAACATTCTCAAGTGACTCATGACTGAATCCTCCTTACTTACATCACTTCCAAACAGATCAACATCGTCATCATCATCATCATCTGCATCAGCTGGCGCTGCCGCTGGAGGTGGGGCTGGTTTGCTCTGTGCTGGGGCAGGGGCCGACCCAGAGGACTGGGCGTTGAGGATGAGGGCACGGAGTTCATCAGTGACTGTGAACAGCAAGACAGGATGGTCAGTTTTAGTTTTAGTAAAAGTGTTTTTTTTTGGGGGGGGG